AGACCTATGCCTAACCCTCCCTCTTTACACGGGCCTAGGACGGGCTAGCAACTAGTGAACTAGTTAACCAGGCGAAGTTCATGCGGACCATAGGAATAGGAAATATTGTAGTTTCCCCACTCTAATCAAAGATTCGGAAAATGACCAAGAAAATAAAAAGCATAGGCTGCGGTCGGATTTTTGCTGGGGCATTACCCAGGAGCATTCGGTGAATACCAGTTCGACAGCAGGAGCATTGACATCCAAAAGAATAAAAACCATGGACATCCTTTGTAATGGCGTATTTAGGATATTTGGCATGGAGATGCAGAAAAATCAACGGGACCTGATGAGCTGCACCCGGGGCTGCTCAGACAGCTTACCATGTACGTGGCTAGTTCGTTGACTACCTTGTTTAGACTAACCCTCTAGGGGGGCGCACTACCTTACGACTGAAAGAACACCATGGTCACACCTATCTACAATGCAGGCTCTTGGCAGAACCTATCAAATCAAAGACCGATAAGCCTCACCAGTGCTGGGATTATAATAACAGGAGAAGTAAACAAGAAAGCCATCACTGTCCACTCGGGAAGCAGCAACTTGTTGTCTCGTTCGCAACGCTAATTTCGAAGTAGCTTCTTTTGTTCGATGAACCTTTTCACAGCCAGGGAATTTGGGTCAAGTCTGTGGATGATAGGATACCCGTAGATGTTACTTTCGTGGACTTTAGTAAGACTTTTCACAGGGGATCGCATTCGAGGTTGTCCTTGTACTAAAAGTTTCGGAATATCTGGGAGTCTACCTATTTAGACCAGGGAGTTCCTAGTCGGCAGGGGACAAAGAGTAAGGATCAACTCTTAACTCTACTCTTGGGAATTATTAGAGAGTGGAGTGCCACAAGACAACCTTGGGTTCCCTACTATTTCCCCTAAAGGTAAATGGGGTGTGGATCCTCACGAAATCCCCCTATGGTTCTATGAGCTAGTGGTACAAAACTCCCATGACAAACTAAGGATGAAGAGGATATGTGTCCAATCAATACGGACTGATACAGCTCGTTAGCTTAGTTAGAGGAATGCCAATAACCATCAACGCATGTAAGTGTGTGACTGTGCACATAGGGCATACAGATGGCAACACCTACGTCATTGATCGGAATATTAGGGGTGACCTAGACCTCCAGGAAATAATTCAGAGGAAAGCCACTTATGTAATCCATGAGACAGCTAGCTGAACACCCCCTTACCCTTCTGCAGATGGGGGAGGTCGAATAATGCCATATATGTTTTTGGGAAATGATTTCGTACCTGATCCGTCTTCTGTCCTTCCCCCGCTGGGTTCAAGTACTTCACAGAATGTAGTAGGAGAATGCAAAAGCGACCGATTAGCGTATTCTTAGGGTACTGGTTCTTGTGTCAAGAAGTCATCCACAACCGACTCCCAGGGGGAGTCGTGTCTACGTCATCATTTGACTAGTTTGAAAGACTACTTGAAATGGACAGGGATCTACTGATAGCGAATTATTATAGGTCCACAGACTTCTGTCCTCAGACCACGAATCTGGGTCTGAAATCTAAAAACTTGCACATCAAACCAATAGAAGGGATATGCTCGTCCGAATTCAAATAATTCTGGTAGATCCAAGCAAGTAGAAATGTCTTACTACGCGTTGGCAAATGTTAGTCAGTCCGTGCGGCACATACGCTTAAGACCAAGGGTGTTTAGAAGCCACCCATTTTGAGGAGCCTAGAAAACCACACATCAACATTTCTTGAGTCTACGTCTCCTTTGAAGCCGTTCCATTCATCGCGATATTCTGTTGGGTACGATTACTCGTTGATAGCGGCGGACAAGTTTATATGGAAGTGCAGGATAGCTAACTATGAAGTGTCTTCTCCACGGTGGTTAGGAGACATTTTTTGCCCTACTTTTTGTGAATCTCACCTGTTGTCTGGGCGGGCATACGCCTGGCTTTGACTTTGATGGCACTGGTCGTCGGAAGCCCAGAGTTAAAATGGTCTAGATGGTTGTCGATGGAATAGAAGAAGCTTTCGCTTAGCTGGTTTGCACGTCTAGAGCCCATGGACCACCACTTCTTGTGGTTGTTAACCTGTGTGCTAGTAAAGGAAATAGTAGCGGCCATAATAGGAGAATTCAACTGGTTCTGGGCAGACCTCAGCCACATCTCAAACAAGTGTCCAGCCAGAGTTTAGAGGGTTCACATCAGGTAGCCTGGATCGCGTTTGCCGGAAGAAGATTCCGGGGCTCGATAACTCTTGAAATTGTGCCTGTTATCCAGGTCTAGTCTCCGTATGTTCCCCCTAAGGTTAGTGCCACGGCTAAGATGCAATAATTGACGGATTGGGTGTTTAGGATGGCATGAGTCACTACCAAGTCTCCTCTTGGCCTTCCATATTCCGGCCAGTGAATGGTGGTCTTATCCCTGATAACCTTAATTTATTAATAAGGCGGCTGTGATTGACACGATCAAATGCCTTAGCGGAGTTCAGATAAATAACATCAGTTCGACCTTAGCAGTAGACCATACAAGCCCATCTATCTAGTGTATTGAGCAGATGGTAGTGCGGAGGTACCCTCCTCTAAATCCGTGTGGTTGCTACATAGAAAGTTGGTCGGTGTAAGGTGATCCATTAGGCCACCACAGGTCAGCGACTCCATTTTGGATGGTGTGGATAACAGCGTCATGGGTTCATGTTCCTTTGGGTTGCTTCGTTGACGTCCTTTGAAGGTTGGCATTATGTATCCCAACTTCCAGGGGTTGGGTGCTTTCCCTTGACCTACAGAATCCCCAAATAACTTGCCCAAGGTTCAGACGAGACTGACGCTTCCTCTCACAATACCGCCGCATGGAATAGGTCCGGCTCGGGAGAAGGAGCAATTTGAGCTGTGCTAGCTCAGCGCTTGAGTCAACGAACGAGGGTCCCACTTCATTTATTCAATACTCCTTAACTCTTGAGTAGGTGGACGATGGCAAAAAGACTTGTAGATACCGGTCACATAGGAGCTCAGCTACTTGAGCGCCGCTACTAGTAAGTCCGTTTGTATCTGGTGGCCGAGAGATATTGTTTTTAGCCTACCGGAACGATACGGTGTAGCGGAACAGACTTTTAGAGCTAAAAACAAACATGTTTGTAGGTCCAACTTGATACCGCTGCCAATTGGCTCCCAACGCGTCCGTTCATATATTTCTTGTCTGTTTGAATATTCTGTGATTGTATTCGGTGCCGATCATTTTTTGTTCTGCTCAGTGGTGTATCTTTAACCTAGGTAGTTTGCTAGTGTGGTCCATTATTGCCTCGCGTAACTTGGAGTACCTCGGTCTAGAAAGTGGAACAGGCCGGCTTATTGCGTGTATGATTTCGCCAAGCAATAATCTCAAATGGGTGGTCACCTCCTGTCATACACGGTTAACTTTCCACTCTGTCTGTTCCCGTGCCATTTGAACGGCAGAAGTGTCAAGTCATCCGAATTTCTAACGACGCCCGTTGAAAGGTCTGGTTAGATAGGTTTTGTGGACATACTGGAAGCCGAGAACAACATTGTCACCTCCGCCCAAAGGAGGGGAGATTGCTAGGTTCTCAAGCAAAAGTTCTTCATTTGCGAAGATGCAGTCTCAGCGGGATGGGATCTAAGTCACCCTCGATCGCGTTACCCTTGTCACATTTTCCGTAAACACCAGTTCCCCAGTCTGCTTGAAGAACTTGGCTTCAACAGAATCGTCACTGCCGCCAAACGTGTGATCTGCGAAAGTTAACCTTCGGTGGTTAACGTCGCTTAAAGTTAGCATGTTTGCGTACCTCAGAGAGCAAGTGGTTGTCTCTAGCATCTAATCACCACGCTATACGTCAGCAGATGGCTTCCTTTGATCACTCTTACCAAGCCCTTTACGGTCTTGAGCAGCTTTATGGGGCATTAGACGCCTCGAGGACTTCCGATTCTTGAATATGGATTTAGTGAGCTGATAGAAAAAAACTGACGTAAAGTGCTACCTCACCTACCAGCGTCCCTGTCGCTGCGAAACCGTGTGGCGTTAGCAACTGCCGGCTCCTGATCCAGCATGCCGAGAGAAACTCGTCTCTCGGTAACGGCCATAAGATGAGCAGAAGCGTCCTTACTTAGTTCCCGCATTTCAAGTCTATTCGGTTATATCTACAAACGAAATCCATGCTATCTACTTGGAATGCACTTTCACAGAAGCTTCAGTATTTTCTGTTTGCGTTGCGACCCCTCATCCTGCTACCCATAAGGCCGTATGCAGACTCCATGTGGCAGGCGGCTACTGTTTTCCCAGAATGCCTACTCTGTGGATGGTGTCATTTAAGGGACCAGAAAGACTACGTTGATCATCCTTGAATCATCTCTTCGGAGGATCCATGAGACGCACTCTTTTATTACTCCCTCGATGTCCTATTTGAGCCATTTGGAAGAGGCATTCTTAGGATTGATCCTGCAAGCGTTCGAGAAGACAAAATGGCAACTTCGGACGTGGGGATGAAGTGTTTAAAGAGCTTTTTTTGCCCTAAACATCATCCGCTCAGTAAGTCCATACTAATTTTTCATCATCGTCCCTATTAGTTATGTTCCGTGGTACCGGGCGGTACTGGAGTTTATGTTGAAGTAAAGTTCAGTCTACACAGAGCCAATTAGCATAAAGTTTGGCAAGCGATACCTATCGCCATAATTGTTGCTGGACTAGTGGTTCATATTGTGAGCTTCATCGGTCGTTGTGATTCCTTAAAGGTGAATGTATGTATACTTTTTATGGTAAGTTAACTTAATATTGTGGTATGCATTCTTCCTAATTTTAAGTAACAAGAATGATACCAGTTCTAAAACCTTAAAGTGCAGATAAAGTCCCAAAATAGTGTCTTGAATCACACAGATTGTCATAAGTCAAATACTTCTAATTTGTATGGACTAGAACTTACTTTTTATTTTGCAAGTGTCATTGACCTTGACATATTCTCTCGTAGCAATTACGAAACTGTGCAAAAGGGATGCCTGTTTCCGCGCGCCAAAATACTGCTTGTCTTTGCAGACTCAAAAGTGGTTACGGTGAAAGGAGAAACGGAGTATCTTTTGTTATACATAGAAATGGAGATACCTATAATCCTGGAAGACGAGTTTTTATCAGTCATCGATTAGCCTTAACATGGGGCTCTTTTATGGAACAACTGCGGAAACATTTAGGACCATACGTACCGGCTATTCGCTGTATCGTAACCCCGAATTCTGGAACGAAAATACACGATATCAGTGAGTTGCAGGAAAATCACCGATATATTGCGGTGCCTAGGGGTGAAGTCCTAAAGTTACTAGAGTAAGTTATTCTAATGTGTACTTCACTTATATATTCAAAAAGTTTAATCTCAGAATTTATACATGTTGAGGGATTAAGTTAAACCGTAAAGCTCGGTTGTAGTAGTAAAACTAGTCGACCGACTGTTATGGTAGAAAGGATAAAGCAGTGACTGATCTCACATGAACGGAAAACTCCTTATTGAGTAGCAAAGCAAAGGCTTAACAGTGGAGTAGATGCATTTAGTTATACTGTGAAACTGTATGGAGTTTTTGGACGTAAGGATCAAGCTCAAGGTTTTAAATTGCCTGCAATTTGGTCACGCGTACATGAAATCTGTCTGTTTCAGATTTGTTGTCTGAGGATAGGAGACTGAGAGCCTATATTAATCCTTTCCCAGTAGATTTTTGTGCTTGTCGAATCCCCTTATGGACAAGACACTTGATGATGTGGACATTACGTCTTCTGAAAGTCGGTTTCGGGCGTTGATTACTCGACGCGAGAACCAGTACTCTATGGAGACTATGTTCGTTCTTTGCTTTTGTAGCCTCCTACGAGATGACTCCTAACAAAATAGGAGTTACAGTAAGCCTTGATTTGGAAGTAGCAGTATAATATCAGTCGGTCGCAGCTGGAATGTTTAGAATACTGGAGGCATCAAACCTTTACCAGGAGTAGTATAAACATGTTCTCAAACTCACTTATAGCCTTGACATTATCCAAGCTAGAAAACTGTACTAGCAGCAGATGGTTTTTGGGAGGTAAATCAAATTCTCTTGAAGAGTTTTAGCGATGTGTGCAACTATAATCTTCAGATGGCTGGTTGACTTATAAAGAATGAATTGAAAAGTCAGGCCTTATCTCTCCATCCTTTTGCAGAGAAATATCAGACTTAATCACTCTAAACAGAATTTAAGGAAAGGATTTTGACTGCATTTGTCTCCTCTCTTCATTTAAGGGAGGACTGAAAAAACAAGGAGATCTATTGGAAAAGAATTTTTATCGGCCCATAGGCTTTATTTTGTTTTCATTAAGGAGTCACAAATGAAGTGCACTGTATAATTGTTTTTATATGGATTCCACTGCCCGCTACGATCCATCATTAGCAAAGTGCATTGTAATTTTCACTGAAATTTTCAACCTACATTAACGAAAGTTTTAGATTCGGACATGGATTTCCTGTTTCAGGATGATAGAGAAGTGGGTGCTTATTGCAGTTTTCTAATCAGTTTCTGTGGATGTTCAGTGAATTCTTAAACAGGCAAGTTTTTTCATATGAACACCAACTCTTCCAAAATTATATTCTAAGAAGCAATTACTTGGTGTGGATAACAGTACTTTATAGTATTTTTTAGCGCTTGCCTTCCAGATTTTTATCTTTTTCCACACCACCAGAAGTTTCTGACCTAGCAAAGGATTCTTGTGCTAAAGCATTCCAAAAAGGATCCTTTGCGAAACTGCCTGAAACCCCTCAAGTGGGCCGAAGTTAATGGTCAGCTGAGATATATCCTGTTTGCGGGATAACACCTCTCTTACATCCAGATTCGTCTTCGTTTATGAGTCGTCTGACACTAGAGAGAAAGAGAAGCGGCTAAAAAAGAGCCCGGTTGACTTTTGTCACCGTACGCCATCCACTGCCAACGAAGATTTGAGTGTACTGCCATATGGCTACGACAGATACCCATTAAAGGTGAGGGACTTGAGAAGGCTTTAGGTGTTTCACCACCATTTTCTTCATAACATAGTTATTGTGATGTGGCGAAACAACGCCAGTAGTGTAGAAGTTGGACAGTGAGTTTTGAGAAGGGGTGGAACATTGTTCGACAAGTTTGAGAACCCCCATCGACTAAGATGGCTGGGATGCATATTAGGTACGCCTAGTTACTGTTCGACCTGTTTCCCAATAATAACTGGAAAAAGGTTGAAGACGGCCAAAGTAAAACTTGGTATCAGTTCATGAAGTCGTTAGCTGCTAGTCTTAGCCATGTAGGGAAATGTAGAATTGCTGTTCGGGGACTGGGTGAAGACCAGAATCATTGTTAGTCGTCCTTACGCGATGTAACTTAGAATTGATTTCAGTGATGTAGATATATTCACTTGTTTTATTTACTGTAATCGTTATAAAGAGTTTTGTCGTCATCTTACCATTTCTTCTTCTCTTCCGTCTTCTGCATCTTTCTACTCCTTTCAGTCAATTTCTTTCTGAATTCTCTATCTTTCGTCTTCTGCCTTGTACCTTAATGTTTTGATACGATGTGTGGCAACCTCGATCATTATGCAGTAATGCTTGGCACCATGTAAATATTCACCGGCTAGTTCAGAACTTTAGCCCTATCACTCAGGTACTGAAACCAACCAACTATCTTAAACATCCACTGTAATTTTTTTGCTTTCACTTATTGTTTATCCCTTGGGTTCCTAGTGAAACATAGGGATTCAGTAGCACGTCACCATTCCACTCTCTTCTCTGTAGTTTTCTCAACTTGGCTGCACGACTACTCACACTAATCTCCTCCTCCGATCACCGTCGGATGCCCAAATCATCGTTTCCCACGCACGTTTTTCTCGAGGGCATGGCCTGACCTGGCGTGCGGTGTCCCCAAAGCCTCTTCTCACTGTATGTCCAGGCCAGACCAGACCAGTCCAATCCATCTCCACATTCTTCTTCATATTTTTTGAACGGTAGGTTGTGGGTTGCTCTCTTTGTTAGCCAGAGTGAGATCCTTGTTACTTATTCTTATGATTCTGGTCATCTATTTGATCTGCAGTGTCAGTATCCAGTGAGCGTAGATGGTAGCTTTCGAGTATGTATGTGTGCAGTTTGTTGGAACTACTGTTCGTATTAGACCGCCAAGTCTCTCAACCATCACATGGAAGCACTGACTTGCCTGAATTAGTGTCGAAAATCCAGATCTTTTTCTTTATGCTGAGTGGGATGATGTAGATCTCCACACTCAGTTCAGATTCGTTAATCAAGGAAGGCGTGTCTTGCCGTCTTTCTGATGCTTGCTTTGGCATCCTCATCTATGCCCCCTGTAGTTGAGATGATGCTGCCTTGCCCAGGTAGGTGAAGAGTCAACTTCGTTTAGGTTTCTCGCGTTGATGGTGGCTTGTGCTTTTTGTTGTTGTTGTTGGGTGTCCTCATCACCTCCATCTTCTCTAGGTTCACTTGAATGAAGTTCTTTCTTCGGTGGCCTGCCTGTTCTGCCAACTTGTTAGTTTTTGCCTGCAGATCTTCGAGTTTTGCGACAGTACATCAGACGTAAATCATCATGGACGGCGAAATGAATATTTTCTAGTATCTTTTCATCGGTCCAGCCACCGTATGTCCATCTTCTCTCCTCATGGTTTGTTGCATGTTCCAATGGAGTCCAGCCGACTACAGTCAGGGCGATGATCGGTGATGATAGTAAGCAAGCTTGTCTTACTCCTTTTTTCACTACGAAGGCATCACTGAGTTTTCCATTGTGAATCAGTTTGTATTATAGTAGGATATGAGTGTAAATGATGTACCAAACACGTATGTAATCTTAACCAGTGCTCAAGTGGATGAAGCCTCTTAAGGGATTTCGGAGAGTTGTCATCTGAATTATTGATGCCATTACTGTGTACCTTTGTTAACGATATGATAATGGATATAACTTTAGGTGTCTTCAACTTTACAGGCACTTGTTTATCTTTAGGATGGAATTTTGGTTGACTTAAGGTATCCAGACGACACTTTTCCACTAGGGGTACACGCTAACAAAATGAAGAATTTTTATGAAGACCTTGAACAGAAATGGTGATACGCTTGCATGAGTTTTTCACTTGTCAAATGGGGCTTCAATGCTGGTCTGTAACTGTTCTCAGTATAACGACAGACAATGATCTAGTAGAATAGGTGTACTACTTCTCTCGAGAAGTTGTATTAGTCGAAATGGATTGGTTGTTGACAAAAGATCAGCTCAGATGAGAAATGAACATTTATCATTTTGCAAGTTTACATCATCTCTGGTACTGGCAGGATGTCCAAGTACCTGTGGTACGTCTAAGAGTTGACCATTGAAGAAGGATGATCTGACGAGGTTGAAAATTTCTGACATTAGCTAGATTGGATGTAGTATACTCGACAGGGAAGGCGATTGCTGTGGATTAGATATGTGTTACGCAGATCAAGCAACCTCCTATCTAACATGTATAATATTAGACAAAGTGAGATTGGACTAGAAGAAGAGTAAGGCTTGTCAACAGATATCAACCTGAGAATTCTTTTACAATTCATCAGACTCGTGTAGAAAGGTACAGATTACCGCACTGGGGTCTTCGCCCGATAGGAATAAGTGGTTAAAGGCACTTGGTGGGATTACTGAAAACCAGTCATTATGGAAGGCGTGTATACATCCTTTGTTTTATTCATTCTTGAACACTCTGTTAACCTTCATGTATTTATTCGGTCTCCTCCCACAGTTTTTATCTACCTCAATATCACTTTATTTCTACATGCTACGTTTTTCTATACTATTGTGGCATATTGAACTGATACGGATTCTACGGTGACTCTTCTGACTTTATTCTTCTTACAGAGTCCTCCGCATTCCTACATCTCTAAACCATTATATGTGTATCATTTTACTCCTTGTATTTTTGTTGTTCACATGGAGCAGTAATTGTTTGACCAGACTGTTTGAACTGGGTGACGTAACTAGATTACATTCCTCAGGTAGCATTCACCCTCTTGTGGTATTTCACAATTCGTTAGACGTTAGCAATTGCTTCAACTACAATGATTCTTGGAGTAATCCGCTTTTAACTACTACAAGGGAACATAGATGTAAAACAGACAGACAGACAGACAGACAGACAGACAGACAGACAGACAGACAGACAGACAGACAGACAGACAGATAGATAGACATACAGACAGACAGACAGATAGACAGACAGACAGACAGATAGACAGATAGACAGACAGACAGACAGATAGACAGACAGACAGATAGATAGATAAATTCAGTTTAGGACGTCGCTCTTGCGGGTAGCATTTATAGTTGACACGTCTAATATTATCAAACTAAACGAGAATGGATAAAGATGTAATAGAAATTAGGGAATAAGAAGTCAAAGTGGCTGGATAATCGTCTAACTAGGGTACAGGACTTGAAGTACAATTTCAGTCGATATTTCTTCATTGTTATAACTTTTTTGTGCCATTTCCTCCTTTATTTTAGCTATTCAAAAGTTGATGAGAGAATACGTTATCCAAAAAAAAGTTTAACATCATCAGAGTTGTTCGAAAAGGCAAGTTCAATTAACTGATTACTTACTATAGGACTGATTTAATTTCTAATAATTATTATATTATTCTTATCTCAGTGTATTTTCGATGAAAAAAGTACTTCATTCAACAACAGGCGGTCATTGATTAGATATTTTATATTAACTGAGTTTAAAATGTACTATTGCTTTTCAGTTATCAAATTTGTTTGGCTAATAAAAAGATTTTTTTCAAACTTATGTAAAAGCAAGCAAATAAATGAATTTGATATTGGGTGATGATTGAAGGTGAGATGAAGACTTGAACTGCCGCCGGATTAAAACCACCAACCACCAGGTTTCCAGCTCGGCGCTCTACTAACTGAGCTACCAGGTCCGACTTCTGACCAGATTTTTATTTGACTTCAATCACTAAGGCGGGTTTTGCTTGACGACTGTCATGTGAATTCGTGATTCGTTAATACCGCTTGATCGTATTAGCACTGGTTACCAGCCCAGCCAGGGCTTCTCATCCAAATCCAAATGTAACTGAATTAGAGTATGGGGGGGGAGCATCATATAGATTATGATTTGACTATCTGAGATAGTCGTAGCTTGGCAGATTAATATTTCATATTTGGTGATGATACTAGCCTGCCAAACTACGGCTATCTCAGATAGTCAAATGTTAAAATAAATAAATATTTTATATCAAGGTAGTATTCATCGTGGATTAACATCATATGGAAAACTACTGAAACTCTGGGAGCGATGGACGGTTGTTTCGTTTGATTACGGGACTCCACAGCAGTACAAATCTACGACTTGACTAGGAATATCATTCACTAATTTCAGGTTTCACAGCGAAAGCGATAACCACTCAGCCACTAGGTTGAATACCAAGGGTCAACAGTTTCTTACTTCTGTCATGTAGCTGGACTATTCACTCAAAGTTCTCAGTTGGCATCCACTTCACTTTCGATCAGTTGACCCTATAATTCATAATGGCTTTTCATCATAACTCGCCAGGGAACCTGGAGGTCCTGAGTCGGATCCCAGCGGGGTTATGGGTAGACAATGTTGAGAAGTCCAATGCTCGGATGAAACATCATTTTGTGTGCTAATAGGTTTTCACTACTTCTCATAGTGATATCAATCCGTGATGAATACCAATTAAGAACTGAATTTTGACGAAATTTAAGGATGATCAGATCACTATTTAGGAAGTGTTAGCTACCTAAGTGGGTTGTTTAAATGTTAGGAATCAATGGTTGAAAAATTCTGGTTACGTGAAAAAAACCCACATAACAAGGGTGTTTGTACATTTTATCATCGTGAAACATTTTCTGATCAGTTCATTTTTATTTGATGTTAAGGTGTAACAATTTGATCTGATATACCTCTTAACAAGGTTCTGTGCTAACTTACCTCTCAGATCGTACATTTACTTTTAAACTCATGATATACTTTTAAAATAATAGACGGTATCCATGTCTAAAATCGATGATCTTGATGAAAATACGTTCCGTGAGCTGAATGGATTTGACTGATCTCTCATAGGTCTTAAATAATAGAATGATGAGATCAATGTAGAGTCTCGTATAGAAGTGTATTATTTCAAGTTACCATAATTTACAGTAGCATGCAAAAAAGAAGTAGGTAGAAAAAAAGACTGATATCAGAGGAGGAAAAAGTGTATGAGAAGAAAAAGAATTTGAGAAATGAAATTTAATGAACATAGTGAATACATCTGGACCATGTCACTAAGACTTTCCAATCACTGATTTCTGTTGCCTGAAGGATCCTATTTCAACATTCTATACTTTCCTACTAGGCCTACACTAGCAGTCAAAAAAATCCGTGCACTGATGCAACATCTTGATTTGACCATTGTGAACTTTCTTCCAACCTAACGTTGCTCTCGTTAACATAACATGTTAAAGTGAGAGATAGCTTGGTATGCACAACAAATGTTCAATAGATCTCAATCAATGAATATTATTTATTTATTATCTTTCCCTTGGGTTCCTAGTGGACGATAAAGCCTCCGTAGCACGCCCACATTGCACTCTGTTCTCTCCAAACTTTTGAGCCTGGCTCCACGACTGCCCACAAGCTTTCATTTCTTCCTCACATGATCTTCTCCGTGTCACCTTCAGATGGGATGCCCAACTCGTCGTTTCCCATTTGGATTCAACTCGAGGGGCTGGCCCAGCACATGATGTCCCCAGTTGGCCTTCTCACTGTATACCCAATCCATCTCCACTTCCTTCTGCATATTTGCTGGATGATAGGTTCTTGGTTGGTTCATTCCCAGAGTAAGTTCCTTGTTGCTTATTGTTTCTGGCCATCTGAGCTTCAGTGTCGAATCAGAGTAGGCAGTTGTTGATGAATATCTGTAGTTTATTGGAAATGCTTTTCGTGACACGCCAAGTTTCTGAGCCATGTAGCAGCACTGACTTGACTGTTATTGCTGTTAAAAATCCGGATCTTGTTCTTTGTGCTGTGCAGTAGATCTCCACAGTGATTTCAAATTAATCAAGGCCTGTCCTGCTTTTCCAATCCTGGTCTTGACATCGTCGTGTGTGCCGCCACCTGTAGTTGGATTGATGCTGCCTTGCCTAAGTAGGTGAAAGAGGCTACTTCCTTTAAGTTTCTCCCGTTGATGGTGATTAGAGCTTATTGTTGTTAGTTGGATATCTTCATCACCTTTGTCTTCTCTAAATTCATTTGAAGTCCCGTTTTCGCTACCCTGCCTCTTCTGTCAACTTGATAGTTTTTGCCTGTATATCTTTGAGTTTGTGTGACATTAGACATGAATCATCATCGGCGGCGAAATCCGAATCTCCTTCTGGGGTCTTTTCATCGGTCCAGCATATGCCAATCTTCTCACTCCTCATGGTTTGCTGCATAATCCAGTTTACCACAATTAAGAAGATCATGGATGATAGTAGGCAACCTTGTCTCCACTTCAAAGGCATCACTGAGCTTCCATTGTGGATCACTTGGCATATGGCGTTTTTATATAGCTGTTGAATGAAGTTGATAAAGATCTGTGGCACTAAAACCGTAGTATTGAAGCAACTGCAGTGAATGAATAGGGTTGATCTTATATACAAAGGTGCTCATAGATTCAAAGAGATCAACTTTTAAACTTGATGAATATACTTCTAGTGTGATCAAATTTTCAGTATTTTACTTTTTTTCGTTACACTTATAATCGTGAAAAGATTAAAGTTTGTTTCATTTTCGTTTTCCTCTTGATGAACGTTGTTTTACCTATTGATCGTTTTCTTCCCATCTACAGTACATTTCACTTTTTGGCTCTTAGGTGAATATTACGTTTCCATTTTGTTAGGAATATTGTGTATTCTGTCTAGTTACTGATAATTCCCCTATCAAGTATTCTGTTTTCTGCATTTACTTTATTTATTAACTAATTTTGATTGGTGTAAGACAATCGGCAAGATGCTTTTTATTGCTTAGACTGTTTTATTTCAAGTGGGTGTTCATCATGTACTGAGATCATTTGGAGAAATATTGGTTTGAAACTTCTAATAGTTTGCAATCATAGTCTCACTAGGGATCAAAACCAGGGATTTCAGATTTCGTAGTAATCACATTACCGTTGAATCCTTGGGTGGGGACCAAATGGTCCACGTTTTTTCCTACTTCCATCAGTTCTTCATATTGAGTGACTTTCACGCAAAGTCATCTTTGAGTTACCAGTGCTCATTAGCTACTTGCTTCAAGATAAGATTTCCTGAAGTTTCAATAAGATATCGTGACCAATGAGACAAACCATGTTGGACATCAGGACAAATAGCCACCAGTGACACTGGGTGAACGTCACGCTATATTGCGAGATGATAAAAATATGAAAATGTAACCCACTGGTAGAGTACTCACCACTGAACCTCAAGTTCATAGGTGTGTACTGTTGAGGAGTCTAAAAACGCGGACGAAACAACTGTCCAGGGCCCTCGAGGTTTCACTGATACCTCAAGTGATGTACTCCTATGATCAACACCAGCTCTAAACCAATAAAATCCCCACAAATCTCCAAGCTCTGATAGGTACCAATGGTTTCTAAAAGAGACTTGAATCTACATGATTTCATGTCTAAGTTCGATCATTGCAAATACTATGTAGAAAATATTTTCAACAGAGCTTATATCTTCAATAAACCAACGGTTGTAATAAACTAGATTTTAGTCAGATAATAACAGAGATTTGTCCACTTTAACAGATTAATAATCTTGAGTAGAAATTATAACACTATGAAACCAACATCTAATCTTATTGAATACAATATATGAAAAATCTACAAATAGGGCACAGAAAGGTATAACTTCAATTCACAATACATCACAGCAATACAATAAAAGACGAACTGAAAGAACTAATGAAGAAAGAGAAGAGAAGAGGTATTAAAAAAGAAGCAAAAGATATTACTACTCTAAAGACTGAAGGAAAAAGAAATCTCAAATTTCACTGTTTCAGTTTCTAAAAAAAAAGTGGAAAGTCAATTCATTGGGACATTGAAAAGCAAGAAGTTAAGTGAACATAAGTGTTATCAATGAATCAATCCATTCTCAAACTGTAAACACATAAATATCATGAATATTTAAAGGCTAAATTTCTAAAGAACATGATTACTATTATTATTTATCCTTTGGGTTCCTAGTAGAACATAGGGCACGCCTCCATTCTACTCTGTTCTCTATAGTCTTTGGAATCTGGTTTCACAATTGCCCACAAGCTGTTATTTCTTTCTCATACCATCTCCTCCATATCACCCTCAGCTGGGACGTCTAACTCGTCATTTCCCATTTGGCTTCCATTCAAAGGGCTGACCAAGTGCATGATGTTCTCAAACGGTTTTCTCAGTGTATACCCAATCCAATCCATCTCTACTTTTATCTTCTTCTACATATTTGTTGAACGATAGGTTTTTTTGTCAATCAGAGTGAGTTTCTTATTGCTTATTTTTATTATTCTGACTATCTATGTGATCTTCAGTATCAGTATCGAGTGACGGTAGG